TTAAGTGAGGGCCCCATTGATCTTTTATTACACTGTTAAGTCAATATGCTCCACTCATAAACAGCTGGAGATTAAATGAGCTCTTTTGAAGGGTTTATGTTCAGGCTTCTGTGGGGGTGTGAGAGAGAGCAACGCCACCGCCCGTGTGTTGCAAAAGAAAGGCAGGTTTTGAACAATGCCGCACAATTAGGCTGTAGGACTTTATGTTTTTAAATGTTGTATTATTATGTGCCTGAAGAGGTCTGCAACAGCGTAAGCCAGTTTTATACATTTTACATTTTGCCTTGCCTTGCCTTGGACTGTAGGAGTTTTTTGTTTTCTGTCAATATTCGCTGCCTGATTATGATTATTTTCTGCACTTTCTCTGTTTGTTTCATTTATGTTCTTGTCTGGTGCACACTGGGGACTTTTCCGAACGTATTCCAATGTGGGTATAATGCAAATAACAAATAAAAGTATTCTAAATCTGATGATCATAACATTTCAATTCACAAATATTTTTATTTGACCACATTAAATCAACCTCAATACATTTTTAGATAATTAAATTCTGGTTCTGTTTTAGTTTTCTGGATTGATTTGGGCTCAAGATTGCTACTTTTTTAACAGCAAAAAAATAAAATTGCTTGCTTATGTATAGTGTAACAGACCTGGAGTTGTGTTTAGCTCCTTCCACTCTGATATTAGAAACTTCTAGCACAAATAGACACAAACAAATCCCTTTGTCCCTTCTGTGTAAATGCTTGTTTTTATGTTTGCCATGACAACTCCTCATACTGACATTGTGGGCAAACAAAATGATTTTCTCTAAATTGCTTTTGTACTGCTCTGTAACTGGTGATGCAACACTGAAATTTCCTCACTGTGGGACGAATAAAGGATCTCGTAATCTTGTGATCTCAGTTCTAGAGCCTAGACTTGATGTTGTTGATATAAGAAGCCCACGTTGCCCTCAGCTGTATAACCCAAGTATCCTGCTTGTCCAGTTGGTTTTCAAAGAGCATTATTCTCCCACAAAAAGAAAGATGTTTATTGCTGTAAGTCTATCTTTTCTTGTGTTTGCACTGGCGCCGTTCACTTTTGTTCTTCATCATCACTTTCACCTGATACTTTCCTGTAGAAGACGCTATGAGTATGGAGGAGATACTGTTTCCATCTTTGTCAGCGGGGAAATGGCATCAAATAATATCTCACAAATATGATAAATGTAATTTTAAAGTACTGGGAAAAATCACTTGATAAAAATAAGAACATAATATATGAAAACAAGTAAAATACTTGTTGATGCCCTGACGAAGACCGCTGTTGGTCGAAACGCGTAGCCAGTCCAATTCATTAAAGGACTTTTAATTTTTTCACTAAAACAGAGTGCCTCAGACTACCTTTGTTCTCTTCTGACTCTGCAGCACTCACCTTTTTTACTTTTAACAAGTAAAATACTGTTTAAAATAAGACAACATTTCTGCCAATAGAACAAGAAAATATGACTTGACAAGATTTCATCAAATGACTTGATTATGGTATAAAAACATACATTTCAAGTATCATTTACTTATTTCTTAAACCTTTTTGACTCTGGAAATAAGAAAAAAATACTTAAAACAAGCATTACAAAACTCACTGCTCAGACTTTTTTCTCTAATAAGATTATGAAGTATTATTATCTTAAAACTAGAAAAGTAATCTTATATGTCAAACTACATTCAAGCAAAAAAAAAAAAAACCATGCCATTAAAAATATTATTTAAAGGCACACCGTGTAACTCTTGGCCACTAGGGGCGCTAGACCTGCAACTTTCACGTTTAGCGCCCCTAGTGGCCACAAGCAACTCAGCACTGTCGCAAAAGTCAACAAACGGTCAGCCGGTGTCTTTTGAGTGTGTATTCAGACAGCATGCACTGGTGTGTGTGTTCAAACTGTAGAGACATGCCTACAGATATTGAGAGACTCTGCTGTGGTCAGCCTCCAGACCGCTGCATTAGTAATCTACCACACATGGACTTCTATATCCTGGATGAGGGAGTTCTGCGTCTAGCTCGTGCTGCGTGGAATGACATCTTTGCAGTCGATGACATCCAGGAACCAGGTGAAGAGCAGCGCTCATACAGACATGCAGCTTACAGCACGATCCCTTTCGCGTTTCCTCTTTTTAGCCTCCTCCGAAGGTTTAAAATTTTTCCTTGCCTCAGCCATGACCAGGAGTCGAGCAGGTGAAAAATGAGTAGCAAAAGCCTTAGCTCCATGAGTATATCAGCGCCTGTAGCCGTAAAGCAAGTCTTTCTTCCAAGTCACGTGACCTGGTGGCAGACTGGTCCGTCTGCTCGAAACTTACATGGGCGGTATTTCAAGAGGGCAGCCCCGCTCGGAGCATTGCAAGTGTCAAGCGCTGTATATTGGCCCAAGTATTCATATAAAATAACTCATATGTGTCAACTCTTTAGGTCACAAAGTCCGCGGTGTGCCTTTAAGGACTCACATGCAAGCACAGGATCCATAGCTAAGAATAAAAAAAAAAAAAAACAAAGTACATATTTTTTCCGTGTAATTTTCATTTCATATTAGATTTGGGGACTTAGTGACAATGACACAGCTTGTTTTGACAGGAGTGATTGAATATGCCGTGATTCGCTTATGTGTGGGATTATTTTGAAACTGAATGAGATCACAGGTGTTTTGTGAATGGTTTGATTTCTCTTTCTGCTTCTGCACAACACAGTCTAAAGTAGGAGATATAAAACCAAAACAACAAAGTCTATTTCAAAATGATCATAAAATATCTTATTGTGTTTTAAAGCATATTACAAATAGTGTTTGTGGGAAGCCATTTATTTGAAAATGATAACGACAACAGAAAGTTGTTATATACCTGTACTACGCTGCCGTGTGCTGGGCCCCGGGCAGCACAGAGCGGGACAGAAGCAGACTGAACAAGCTGGTCAGGAGGGCCAGCTCCGCTCTGGGCTGCTCCCTGGACTCTGTGGAGGAGGTGAGGGACAGGAGGGTGCTAGCCAAAGCCACCTCCATCATGAACAACACCTCCCACTGACTGCACAGGACTGTAGAGGAGCTGAGGAGCTCCTTCAGTGGAAGACTGAGACACCCTCAGTGTAAGAAGGAGCGCTACCGCAGGGCCTTTTTCCCCACCGCTGTCAGACTGCACAATACGTCACTTTAAGTCACTGTATAAGACTGAAAAAACCTGCACTACTTTTGACACTATTTCTGATTGCCACTTTTAAATTGCCACTTTTTCTTATTGTACATAATATATCCTGCACATTTCCTCTCTTTTTGCACAATCTTGAGTGTTCCTATCCATGCCAAATGTGGCATGTAAATTTCTCCTTTGTGAGATAAATAAAGCATATCTTATCTTATCTTGAATCTTCTTCTGACTGATTGGCTACAGGAATCATTATGTTTATACAGCTGCTTCTGTAAATCCTATAGCGTATACATTCACTTATACTAATTACAATTGTCAAAAGGGGAGGCAAAATAAGCTTCAGCCTTTTACACCTTTTTGGTCTTTCTTTCTGCTGTAAAATGACCGCTCTGGAACAAGTGACTGAAATGAACTTCTTTCATTCATTGATTAGAAGTTTTCATCTCTCAGTTCTCAATAGCGTCTACGTCCCCTTTAACATCAATCAGAGCTTGGAGTCTGATGTTGTAGTTGTGGATGAGGTTATTAATCTTCTGGTAAAGCTGCCCCTCCTTTGGCAAATAGCCTCCAGTTCCTATAAATTCCTGAATTGCCTTGTCTGAACGGCACAATCTCTGGCTTGGTTTGTAAACTTTCACACTTTATTCTCTGGATATATGCGTAGGAAATAAAGAATTCTGCTATGGTGTATTTAATTGTAATCTACCTTTACTGTCTGGGATTGCACATGTAGCAGTAACTTTATCCTAGCTTTCATATTCCATGTGTTTGCATTATTGTTATTGTAGTCACACACTGCAAAGTCTAGTAAAAGTATGAAATGTGGTTTAGTTTTGCACACATCTGACCCTCATTAGCAGCCTGTCCAAAACATGCTCTGCAGCCCAGACAAAAAGTGTCAAATAGTCTTGTTAGTAAACCACACTGGGAGGAGGAAACCAGACGCCTGCAGCCGCGCCGGCCCACTGAGCTGTGAAAACGCCTCTATAATGTTACATCCCTCTCACACGCAGCACATTTGACTCCCCCATTCACAAATTGGTATTTAATGGCTCTGTTGTCGATGGCCTGATGCTGGTGACTCGCGGTTAGTTGTTTTGTCTCTGTCTCCACGTTGTTTTGCACAAAATGAGTTTTCCACTGATTATATCATTATTTTTCCATCAGTGCAAATTGGCTCACCGCTGTACAGAGCTGAATGCGTTGCCTTGCAGCCATGTGTGAAGAAGACACGGTCGTTTGGATTGGAAACAATTCAAAAGAGTTGAAGAAATGCTGAGCTTTGTCTCATCGATTTTTCTTCTGGCTTTTCAAAACAAGGGAATACAAACAGATCATTAATTGTGACAATGTCCAATCTGTCATTAAACAAAGTGTCCATTTGATTTTCAACTGGTGGAACGAGGCCCAACAGTTTATTGCAGGAGCATTTTGAGTGGGTCGTAAACATTTACTGGGTAACATTAAAAAAACAAAGCAATATAGAAAACTTTGAAAAACTCTTGAAAAACATGCCCTTGATTTAAGAAAGTAAAAAGTGTTTAAACTTAAATAAATATATATTTCTTTTTTTTACTTAAACTTTGAAATAATGTGTAAAACTGCATTGAAATTGTTGCTTAAAAAACACAATATCTTATTTTAAGATTAAACCGTATTTTTTTTTTTTATATCCTCGATTCCAAAGTCTGTTGTTGTTATTTTGTTCATAATTTTAACTTGTGCTATTATTCACTGCTTATAAAACTATAATTTGTGAACATAAAAATTATAGTTTTAATGTACTCATGAAGCAAATGAAGTCCTTTCAGTCTATGTTGTGTTTGTCCACAGTGTGTAACTGTGACTTGGCGCGCTCGGGGTTCTTCCAGAAGAAAGGCGAATACATCTGCACGGCGGATTACCAGCGGCTGTACGGGACACGCTGCGATCGCTGTGACTCGTTCATCACCGGAGAGGTCGTGTCTGCCCTGGGACGCACCTACCACCCCAAGTGCTTTGTCTGCAGTGTCTGCAGGTAATAACATTCACAACATCTCATACTTATGCCTCCTTGCATTAATAGTGGGGCATAGTATCTTGGATATTTTTTCTACACTTAAAAAAGTCTGGTAGCTAGTTTCATCCCTGATCAAAAGTTTGCAGTGGCTCACCTTTGATTTTGGCTGTAGATGGTGATGTTCTCCGCTGGTTTCATGAAAAAAATCCTGCTTCTGTCACATGCCACTATGTGAATGTGGAAGACTTTATGCTGTTGTCACTATTCATAAGATTGATTTGTAGCTATTTGCAACTAATTGACAGCCAGGTCAAGACTTATGACTACCAGAATGGAAAAGGATTGTATTGTACTGATTCTTCCTCCATATTAGTTACATATCCAAAGTTTTGCGGTATTTGGTACTTGCTCAGTAGATAATAGATTCATTGACGTTGCTGTTTTGACTGTGTGTAAATCTGCTTCTAAAGAATGGGAAAATATCTGCTTTTTGGTTTATCACTGTTTATTACTCCAACAATTGAAAACACAACCTCAAACAAAAAGTTGGCTGAACGTACTGAAAGATCAATAGAAAATTCAAAAAACGTCCACTCCATCCGACAACACATGTTTATTCTTTGAGCACTGTTACTGTCACGGGGTGAGATGAAAGAGAGAAAAAATAATTGTTTAATGATGATAATGAAAAACAAAACTCAAAATTCCAAAAGAACCAGGAACAGGACAGACTTGGACAGACATTGACGATGGACCAGCCACAAGTGGGAATGAGCACAGGGTACAAATAGACGCAGAAAGACACACATTAGGGCGGGGCAGACGATCAATGCAGGGGAACAGGAAAGGAAGCACAACTAAAACAAAACCACAGAAAACTGATGTCAAAATAAAACCAAAAAGTACCAACATGAAAAAATCCACACCATGACATTAACGTCCCAGGCTTCCAGCATCCACAGCAGCTATAAATCAAAGATATAGCCGTATGCTTGCTACCCAAGGTGTCAAAATGATGGGTATTGTACCAGTGTAGCAAAAATGTAAAAATTCTCTGATGTTTTGTAACGGTCTATTTATTTTGACCCCTTGAGCCGCCTGTTCTCTCTCCCATACAAGTCATTCCATCAGCACAAGTGGTTTTAAAGCGTCTCATGATAGAGGGGACTTTTGAGAACAGGGCATCAATTGTAAATGTGCTTGAAAGAATGTCTTGTTTTGTAATTATCAGCTGCTCTTCCTCATGACCGTGCTTCACTGCTCAAATTGACGCAAATACTCTGTGAGACACAAAAGCTCTGTACTTGGCGGACTCCTCACTTTGTACCTACATAAAACAACATGCCTGACTCATCCCGTCTTCAATGCCACTCAGAGCGATGTCACCTGATTACATTACACCCGCACTTCTATGTAGAGCGGAGTTTCACGCTGTTATACGGAGGAAAACTGGGCCATCTCTCCTCTGACCTCCACCAGCTCATGTTAAGCTCTTGCTCAACAAAATAAGACTCCCCCAGTGACACCGCATTTGCTTTTAGATTTAGCTGCTGGCAGATGTAGGCCTATTTATTTAAACCATTTCTGGTGAACAAATCTTTTTACGTTCTCAGCTTTCAAAAAAATAAATGCTGTACCAAATAGTAATCAATGAAAATAATAAAAAACTTGTGAGTGGAAAAGTGGATTGTAAAATGAAAAGCATAGCTATTGATTCAAATATTTTTATTTCACCTCTTTATACGTATCTTCCTGATCTATTCTAGGCCTTATCACTGGCCTCTGTCATGATGAGATTCCCTTCCTGCTGATGTTTCAACATGACATAGTGATCAAAGAGCCAAGGCTAAAAATAGCTTTACTCCAAGGTTTGGCCAAAAACCAAACACTATAGTTACGGTTTTTTAAAGAACAAAGCTGGCAAAGTTTAGTTGTTTCACAACATAATATTACATAATAAGTGTTTATTGTTGTTGAATCTTTTTATTTTTAAGGGAATTTCCATGACACTGGTTTTCTTTGGTGTTCTGCTTTTTGTGTGGGTGTGAAGTGCACATCCTTTTTAACAAAACAAAACACCTAATACGCAGATTGTTTGACACTGGAAAATTGTAATTTGCAGTTACATTTTCTATTTTGTTTGTTTTGAGTGTAATTGTTTAACTATCCTGGTCTTTTATTGAAGCTCAGTTTTCTTATACTTATTTTGGTCAATTGATTTTGGGAACAGAAGTGAAAAAGCTGGAACAGAAGTGAAATAGCTGGATTAATGCAATACTGTGCTTTAGCTTGTAAGCTAACTGGCCTTCTAATCTGAATCAGGGTTTTATCAGTAAAAATACCTATTTGATCCATCGCAGAGCAAGTTTTAAGTTCATCCCCAGAGCGTTCTCCAGAGGACTGGTCTGAAACTTGCTCTGCGATGGATCACTGGTGGGCGAGAGTGTGACCAGTGTTTTGTCTCTATACTATACTATAGTATGTTTAGTACTCCTGATAGTACAGTATTAACTGCTCATAAAATGTATACCTTTAATGAGCATCCTCCATGAGTCTCACTCTTCTGCAGACGGAGCTGGAGACCAGAGAGTCCCTCTGTGTCTGCAGGCCTCTGTGTCAGGCCTCTGTCTGCAGCCGCTGATGAGGGAGGCACAGGATTATTGTCGTTTTGAACAGCTTTCTGCCCTGTAGCCCCATCCTCTCTCACATCACCAAGGACTGGCTGCTTTGACTTTTGCTACCCTTGGGGTAAAGTGAGGGAAATCATCAACATTCTGCTTGAGAAAAGATGATTTAGGGTATTTAGTAATTACTGTGGCGGGTCAATTTGACACGAGGATGGTACAAGGTTAACCTTTGGCCCTTGGTTAACTATTTTGAAGGATATTTTCAACTTTATACTTGATACATTTGCTTGAAATAAAAAAGGATCCACTGACCTCTTGTGCAGAGCTGAATGACCCACCTCTTGTCTATATACTTGAAATTATCACTCCAAGTTATTATCTGCACATGGTCAATTCTATGGAGATCCGTTTGCCTTTTTAATGCACTTTTTTGAGCTACTGTGTCTAAGTAATTTCCTTTGTGGATAAATTAAGTTTTTCTAAGTCTACGAAAGATAGAGATTGAGCTAAAATGCAGCTAAAGTCAGACAAAGCACAGTGTGCTGGCATCAGTATGCACTCTGCATGCTGTCGCACTGGCTCCCTAATAAGTTTCTTTCTCAGGGCTGGAGCCAGCGTCTCTTTCAGAAGTCTTTGGCAGCGGTGTGTTATGGACTCTTTCTTCACAGGAGCAGTCTCTGTCCCTTTGAGCCGTCGTCACTGTTTAAATATGAATCTGCACGTTTAGAGCACGTTAGGAAACGTCAGCGGAACCTGAGCTCTTTCTCTGATCTAATCCTGCGTCTGCTACACCACAGTGTGTGACTGTGCAGAGAAAGGCAGTGTAAACACAGACTCATACAGGTGTTGGCTTATTGCCTCCGTCTCAATTACAGCTGAGCAATAGTTTATTTACTGCATAACGTCGCCATCCACTGTCATGGTGTACATTTGTTTCTTTTTTTGTTGTAATTTGTTAGCCTGTGTCTTTAGTTGTACTTCCTGGTCCTGGTTTCCTGCCCCACCCTCCTGTGTATAACCTGTGTCTCGTTAGTCTTGTATTTAAGTCCTGTGTGTTCCTTCTCTCCCTGTTTTGTCATTGACATTCCACATCCGCTTGTCATTCTTTTCCTTGATTCCTGTTTGCTTACTTTTGAGGACTTTGGTTTGTTTATAATTAAATCATAATTTTTTGCATTCTTGAATTTTGGGCCTTTCTTCTCACAACCTCATGACATTCACTCACATTCACTCATGTGACACTATTTATGGCACAAAACTGATCACATAGCATCTGATACATATATATATAAAACATCTTGATGCACTTATTCATCTGTTTTGTCTTTTGATATTCTTGTTATTCTGTTAACTCATATAAACCAATCTGGTATTGGAATAATAATACTTTTTTAAATCTACAAAATGATGTCCAGCCTTCTAATAATCTCCCGCTCCTCCTCTCCACAGTAAGCCCTTTCCCATCGGGGACAGGGTGACGTTCAGTGGGAAGGACTGCGTGTGCCAGCAGTGTTCTGTCCAACTCTCCAAACCAAACGAACCCATCAAGATCCACGGGACGAGCCGTAAGTCCTCATGTCCCGCACTGATGCTGAGTGATTCAAGATTCAATTCCTTTTTGTTTTCCATGTCTCCATACATATTGGATTTTCTTTAGCACAGGGCTCTCAGTTCAAGTTAAAATCATATATAAATAGTCTAAAAGTCATGTGAGTGTTGGAAAGTCAAGAGTTGGTAAGTCTATTAAATATGAATTGGTTTTCACTTATATATTGATGTGTTATTGTCAAACTAGCTTCGCCATTATAGACATGCTATAGACAGCCTTATTTTTAAGCTCACACGCTGCAAAATGCACCTATTTTATAACAATTCACACAATAATATGAAAGTTCATCATTCAGCCATCTTCAAGTCTATAATGTAAATGCTCATTTCAGGAACAGCCTGAATCCAGTTTATTCTAGTTTATAAACCATACAGGGTTCAAACATAATTTACTGTTTTTGTTTTAAAGTTTAAACATGTTTGTTTCCGGTTACTCCACTACTTTAAAAAAAATATATATATATTTTTTATGTGCAGAATAGTATAGAGCTTTCATTCCTTTGATAGTATGACAAACATTGATGGTGAAGAAATGTGGTTGACTGTCAGAGAATAAAATATATTGTACGTACTTTTATGTAGAGTAAATATTTTTCAACAATAATATATTTTACAAAGTCCCTCCCCTTGACAGAACTATGACCAGTAAGATTTTTAGGAAGAGAATCTTTAAAGCAATGACTAAGGGTTTATTTTGACCAATCAGGAGGCTGCGGAGGCTTTTGCTCTCTCCAAAAAAGTTGAAAAGGGTTAGGGATTTGAATCGTCGATCAAAAAAGAAAAATGAGGAAGGAACAAGAGAGTGATTTCCGTTTGTCCAAGGTCAAAACATTAAGTTGTTTGACCTTTGGCTGAACTAAATGTCTCCTGACCTTGCCTTCTGTCACCAGGGCTCCGACCTGCCAGCCAAGACAAACTGTTTTTCTGATGCTAAAAACCGCAGTGTTGTCCCATTCTGCTGCCCACACAACTCTGAGTGACATTCAGCTGTGATTGATGGGACTGTGTCAATAGTTTTTTTGGCCAGGACCTCGTTTCTGTTTTTCAAATGACTCAACATTTGTCATTCCTGTTTTGCCTTAAAAGCCCTTGGTAATGAAAAAAGTTTGATTTGACATCTTGAAATTAAGCTTTTAACCCGTGGAAAAGCACTTGATTAAAAGTGAAATGACAAATGTCTGTGTGGAGAGCGCATACATCAACATTATTGAAGGTTTTTCAGTTTGGGATATAGATCAGATTTGTCGCAGTCATTCATTGAATTTTGTCTTACACTGGGATTGCAGGTGCGATATTAAATTACTGTTGCACGGAATACAACCACAACAGTGGCCAGCGAGTTGCCATTCTGATACTTTTATCAACTTAACTTCATTGATATACACTCTGCAACTTGGCATAAATTATTAATAATTTATTGTATAAAATGTTCGGGCAGGTGCCAGTGTGATAAACTAGCAATCGTGGTTTTAAGCTCCCACAGATATCCCATTCCTCCATCCGTCTCTTCTCATCTCAAAATTACACAGTGTACCTTTTTAGTGCTGCCCTCCTCTGTATCGATATTACCAATCCGTGATTATAGTTGTAGAACTGTTTTAGCCACAGTTCTGCCACAGCTGTGTCCAATGCAACGTCCTCCTGGCTTTTCGGAACATCGTGATTTTAAGCTCCGACAGCATTTCCCATTCCTCCATCCGTCTCTTCTCTTCTCACAGCGTTTGTAAAACTTTAGTTTGTAATAGATCTATGGTTAAACACCTCTGTGCAGTGCGTGGCGCTTCACACCACAGACTTTGTTTACATGTCCACCTCCACGCACTTGCGTCAAGGCCCATTTGTTGCGCAGTAGTGTTTGGAGAGATCCAGTCATTTACCAAACTAAAGGATTCTTTCCTTTGTGGTCCGGTGAATTACCAGGAGTTGGGGACCACTGTCAAAAAATCCATAAAATCCATCTAACTACCATCATTTCTGAACTATAAGTCACAACTCTTTGAACCCTGAGGCTTATATAGCGGTGCGGCTAATATGTGTATTTTCATTGTGATGGAGTTGAGCTGTTGTCAGAGCAGGGTTAATGGACTGGATAGCTATAGGACACTATTGTTGTATTAAAACAAATCTTTACTTCTGCGGCTAAAACACAGGTGCGCATATAGTCCAGAAAGTATGGTTCCTGACTCCTCAAAAATCAATCATTTTAACATGTATGTATATTTTGTCACATCTTTAGATCAGCATTATCAAACAGAAAGGTAAAATAAGTCAAATAGTGACAGGGCTCTTTCTTACACAGGTGTAAAAAAGTAGTAGTAGCTTGTTGTGTTCACCCCAGCTTTAAACCGTATTGTATTATAGACGTGAAGTCAGTTCCATGCCTTTCAGCACCACCTGCACGTCACAGATGAGCTTTATTTGTTGAAAGAGGAGAACATGCCATAAAAATGGCGTTGTTGTATTTTGTGGCTGCACCGGTCCCATATCTGTGCTGTTCATGAGCTGTGATGAACTGGAGCCCTGGGAGCTGTGGGGTTTTATTCCTCTGAATGAAAAGGTCTGTAGAGGGCAGTTATGGTGACGCTCAGAGTTTAAATCACATTGCGTTGTGTCGCCACGGTGATGGTTTGTGCCACTGTTCAGAGAGACGTCTGGGCCAGTGACGAATGTACTGTTTTACTGCAGCAGTTACATGAAGAGACGAGGTATATGTGGAAATATGGCAAATGTGAAATAAATTGGCTGCGAAAACGGTCTAAATCAGGGGTGGCCAACCAGTCAGAGACTAAGAGCCAATTTTTTTTACTGTGTTACAGCAAAGAGCCACATCATACAAATGTGCACTACATAAACATCACCCCAACCCTTACACACGCACGCACACGGGCACGTACGCACACGAGCAGACACGCGCACACACATGCAATCTGTCTGTGCAGAGAGAGGTGTGCTCTGCTCAGACAGATGTATTGTAAATGTCATCAACATGATAATGACAGAAATTGACTCGTACAGTACTAAAGGGCTGGACTCGACTCTCCCCGGTTTGCGGGCGCTTCTACCGCTCGCTTCAGCCGCTCCCCGGTACTTTTTATTAATGGTTTGGCCCTGGTTCTAACCGGGCGAGTCGATACCAGAACAATTTCACGTCAGCGAACATCAATTATGATTCCGAAATGAATGCTTTCAATCTCTAACCAAGAAAAAAAAATCAAGTTTCAACCCAGTGTTCAGCAGAAACACAACTGTCTTTAGTAAAAGATATAGATTTGACACATAACACCAACACCACTTTAGCTGATTTAGAACCACAGACACATGCTCAGTATAAGACCAGATACTTTTGCATTTGATTGAAGACAGACACTCACCAGGCAGAGTTGGCTTATCTCCTGGTGTAATGCTAGTTGTTGTTAGCTGGTTTTAGCATTAGCCGGTGTTAGCCGATGTCCGTAAATGTAATCCATTTGGTCAAACCACATCCAGACTTTTCGGGTCTGCCTCTACTTCTGCTGCTGCGATCTTTCATTTCACGGTTGTCACTTTTAAGCTTTTTAACTTTTCTCTGCATTGTCATGTTTGTGGGAATCATTCTGCTCCGTCCTTAGTGCTAGCTCCACAAACACCTTCTGGTTTCTGGTGGAACCAGCGAGATCAGGCTGGTGTCCTCTCCTCAAACTGAGGAAGGTGTTGCCCTCATCCACCGACCAAGGAATTCTTTTCCGTACGGACGTCATGGTTCGAGGCAACGTGTTGTTTGTTATGATATTTGCTACAGCTGAGGTAGCAGCTGCAGAGTGATTGACAATGCATCTGACCAACCAGAATTGACGTTCGCCGACGTCAGATTGTTTTGGCGGCCTGGCTAGTGGAGTGAAGTCGGCCTTTACTATTGGTCAGAACTACATATGGAATGAAAGGCAGCGCCACCACCGAGGCGTTTTTGACGCTTGTCGAGTGAAAGCCCGAGAGCCGCACGGAACCAGCCAAAGAGCCGCATGCGGCTCACGAGCCGCGGGTTGGCCACCCCTGGTCTAAATGAACAAGGGCTGGTCAAGTTATTAAAAAAATACAGCTAAAAAAATATATAACATATTTCAATCACTGTGGCGGGTCAATTTGACTCGAAGATAGCACAAGTAGAATTATTTTTAAATGTCCCTTGATGTCCTTACATGCCCGGATCAGCACCTTATTCAGACATAATGTTCAAAGTAAGTTAAAACTGTATATTTTTTACGGTATGCTGCGGAATTTTATAGTCAAAAGAACAATATTGCAATACTACAAGTCAAATCAAAGTAAAATGTATGAGGACATTTTAAAAAAAGTATTTTTTTATGGTTGAAAAGTTACAGAGTGAAGCTTTAACATTGTCATGATGACCTCAGATGTGTCCTGTCTTTATCATTAGTGATGGACAGTTGATTGTTTGTGACTGCAGAGTGTGCGGGATGCGGAGGGGAGATCAAACAGGGCCAGTCCCTCCTGGCTCTGGAGAAGCAGTGGCACGTCAGCTGCTTCCGCTGCCGCACCTGCAACATGGTGCTCACCGGGGAATACATCAGCAAGTACGACCGTTTTATACTGTGTTCCATGTCGCTAAAGACAAGGTTTTCAAATGTGCTTTCTATTTGCTGCAGGGATGGAGTTCCGTACTGTGAGGCTGACTACCACGCCCAGTACGGGGTGAAATGTGAGACCTGCAGCAGATACATCAGTGGAAGAGTCCTGGAGGTGAGAAATGTATAGTTTATACAGAGAGAGAGCGAGAACATACAGTGTTGCTCCTACATTATACGAAATACTTCTCATTCTCTTGTTATTTCTGATGCTTATGCTGCTCATATTCATATTCTCATATTCTCCGCTGCTAAGGTACAATATACATATATTTAAATACTTCTGAACCAAGTGCAATTATAGCCCCAGAGTTTATTTTATTTTATTCTTTATCTTATTTCAATTATGTTGTCTATTTTCTCAAATAATAGACTCAATTTGATGTGTGCAATCTGAGTGCTCGTATTTCCTTCTTTCTTTGCTGTAATGTGCGCAACGATGACACTGAAATTTCTCCACTGTGAGACGGATAAAGGTATATCTTATCTCTATCTTCTCTAATACAGCATTTCATCTAAAAGATAAATGACTTAAACTGTAATCATCCTAATATATTGGTTCTACCTTCTGCAGATCAAATGTCTTTGGACTTCCCACACAGGTTGCCCTCATGGCATTGAAAGATGGTTCAAATGCAGATGACTATAGAGACTTTAACATAGCCCTTCCCTGCTATTGCAAATAAAATGCATACATAGACACTTCCTAAAATGTGTTCATCCTTTTTCCGTTAATTGAACAATAAGTCAATATACTGTATGCTCCTCGGTAAAAAGAGAGCTGTCCGGGATTCCCTTCTTTTTCATTTTACAATTCGCCCTTATTAAAGTTGGAAAATGCTTAATTTAATCTTATTCCAACATAAATCAGATTATCCGCTGTTGAGAAAGTGTGTCATGGGGAAATATGGGAAAGGCAGTTTCTCCAAATGTGAGCCTCGCTTGGTTTTAAAGACTTTAAAAATACCTGGAATAAGTAATGAAGGCAGAGTGTGCTGAGCTGCAGCGGTTTGAAGAGGCAGACGAGGGGAGATAATGAGGCACTTGGTTCCAAATTATTTTCTAGATGAAGTACAAAATCCTAATTAAACATTTTGGAATATTTCATGGGGTCCGTGGGGAAGCGAGACGACTTACTGGACTTGTACGTTTCTGTTGAACATGAAACACTCAGGGACCTCTTGTCAAATCGACTGCTGTAGTGCTTTGTTCTATTTAGAGACATTTTCTGCCTTTATCTACAACTACTGTGTGGGGTTGTGTGTGTATGTATGTGTGCGTGCGTGTGTGCATGTGTGTGTGTGTGTGCGTGTGTGTGTGCCTGTGTGTGTTTATTCTTTGGATTGTCAATTGAGTTTCCAAATAACGGATTTACCTGTTAGTGTCTGACATATTAACACAAACATCACACAGATATGCGTTTGCTTTTTTCTATCGGATCCGAACATTTGATGAAAGACTTGGTTGCTGTTTTTATACATTGTGAAAGGTTTTTTTCTCTTATACATGGTCTGTTATTATTGTTACTTATTCAGCCCTAAAAGTTATATACTGTACATAAGAGTTACAAGAAATGTGCATTTCAGTGACTCACAATAATTCCTCACATATACAAAAATGAATATACAGAATGACCTTTATGTCCACGAGTTTAACCATGCCCTTCTAATTCATTTATCTACTTAAGTTAGATTCAACTCCACATCACATGGTTATGAATCTCTGCTGGTGTTTCATGTTGAAGCTATAATCTCTGAACTTTTTGTGATGTTTTTTTTTTCTTCTTCTTTTTTTTTTAACAATAAGCTTGATATGCTGCCATACCAGGACTGCAGTAAATATCTCTTAAATTTGTTTAATCGTTTTTACCCACAAAAAAGCAAACACAATGGACACACACATGCAGTACACACAAAACCAGAAAAAAACAGCTGATTAAATTCATTTGCACAAACAACAACAAAATTATATATGGTTCTCTCCTTTACCTCCATTACATTGCATTAGCCCTTGTTATGTAACTATGCATTTGCCTGTACCTCTAGGAATACTCAGGCAACTGTTTGGATTATAAACACAACCGCTAATTCATGTCTCCTTGGAGCTGCTTCGGCAGAGGTTTACACTATTGCAGAACATTTAGATCACCACACTGCATGAGACGAACTCACGCTGTGCCCACTGCCTGTGTGAATCAAGAGCGCTGCCTGATTTCAACTTGCATTGCCAAGCGTAAAAGACATAGCATACAATTTTAGTTTTCATTTTTGTATTATTCCTAGACTTCCAAGCCTTTCATACCCCTCACTGCCAACGGTGAGTGGTGAGACGATTTGTACCGCTGATATAAAGTGCACAGATGCTGGGAAAGGCAGCAGGCGGAAACACAGGCTTCTTGGAGCATCCTTCCTGGTTCTTCTTACAGAGTAACCTGAGACAGACTGGGAACAACAGAGGAGGACAGAGACTATGGCGTGGTTAAAATACTACTGGAACACAGTTGGGAAACAGAGCTGGTCTTAAGAGAAGTTTTCTAGTTTGTTGCTTCAGAATATTTTAAGCGTGATTTATTTAAGTATGTAATTTATTCAATAGAATCCATTTAAAAGCAATGAAACAGAAGAGACAAAAACACAGATAGCTACAAGAGAATCTTTAGCTGGAATTCCATGGAACATTTGTGAAAAACATCTTGTGATCATTCGGTTAGAAAGTCATTCTTTTGCCTCGTGTTTTCAGCTAATGATTTATTATGCCATACTGCAAAAGCTTCAGTAATTATCAATGCAGTTGTGTGCACTCCTTCTGCCGAGTCGGACTTATTTTGGATTGCGTTGTAAAGTTTTTGCGTTTCAAGGCTTTTCTCAATACTTTTGGAGAAAATATCTCAAAGTATACATTTTACATGAAGGCCATAGACGACCGTGTCCCCTCTCCTTGACACGGGTCACATGACTGGTCCTTTAAATAGCTCCACTCTCACTGTGCGTCTGGGGCACCTGAGGTGTTGGGATGGGGGCATGCCTCGGCCACCTGCCCTGCTGCCTGCATTTGGGACGTCCTGGGATAGTAAACCATGTAAAAAGGGCAATCTGGTCGGTACATGCACCAGTCTTTGTGCCCATTTCGCCTACATGTATCCCCCGGAGTTACGTTGGACGTCCAAGGACATGTTTCTTGTACCTTTCTCTTTTCACACATTTTGTCATGTGACTGACCTACTGGGATGGTGCTCCAATTGCAAGATGGAGCAAAACATGCTGCAGCAGTTTGTTTGGTCCTTGAATAGTATTTTGGGATCATAAATGATACATAGGCTGGTCAGAGATAGCTTTTTTTTAGCTTTTATTTTCAGCACAAGCTAAGAGGGTCTGTAAAAAAGATTCTGAATGGTGAGATGATCCTTGTAGTTGATGATCATAAAGTCATTTGCTTGAACTAGCCATGTACCTGACCCCTTTCTTTCAATTTTACTACCAATTTCTTCTAGATGTGCAGCTATCATCATGTTTGGTGATTTGTTTATATCTCATGGTCAATCTGGGTGTTAGCTCTGCCCGCTCAAATTTCCCCCATGGCAGCCTACCCAGACTTACTTATCTGTGGAGAATTGACGAGGAGTTTTTGTCAGGCTAAGTCAGAGATTCATTTCATCCAAGTTGATCCAGTCTAGCAGCCCTGGTGTATGCAGAGTCATTTCCTGCTTGAATAGTAAGAATTGTTTCTGAACCAGAGGCGTATCTTATAATATCTGCTGATAAAGTCACCCTTCATCTATATTCAATAATCTCCTTTGCCAGTCTGAGGGCGATAGTGGTCAGGTGCTTAACATCATGAAACATATGGACAACTTGACCTGCACTTGGTGGGAGGCCATTTGGAGATTAGCTGCCTCTGCGAAGCAACTGTTTATGATGGTAATTTATGATTGTCACCTCTTTTTTTCATTCTCTCTTTTTCAGGCTGGAGGAAAGCACTACCACCCAACCTGTGCTCGCTGCGCCCGCTGCAACACCATCTTCAAAGAGGGAGAGGAAATGTATTTGACAGGTGAAACTTGAAACCAAAACATCTCATTAGCTGCAACTTAGGACAGAACCCCTCAAATAACTGTGGAGACTCCACAATTAAGTGCTAAACTTTATGTTTAAAAAAATATTAGACTACACAGAACACACAAGATGCTGTTTTCACTGTAATGAATGCAATTATTTTTTTCTCACCAGCGATTTACAGTACATTAGATACAAGCACAGGTAGGGCACCATCAACTGCCTCATCATACTGCATAATTGTTATGATGGGGAACGTTGATTTGTATTGTACACTGGGCAACTGAGAGTCTTAAAACATAACAGAGAAAACATTACAATCATACAATCAGAAATAATCCCACAGTATACATTTGCAAGACTTTTAAAAATAAATAATTATATACACGTCCTCAGTCATATGCACAGCTAACAGCTTCAATTCATCTTCTTAATTGAAAGCATGAATATATGTAGCCTATATGCCTATGTCCCAGTGACTTGCTTTATGCCAGTGACTGGATGCTAGTTTAAGCATCTTGGAACATCTGTTTACACTTGTTTTGTAGGTGCAGAGGTGTGGCACCCATTATGCAAGCAGGCGGCGAGGGCAGAGAAAAGACTCAGGGTGTGTGCTCGCCAATGAATACAAATATATTCTTTTTTTGCAACCACATCATCTAAAATAGCATGCTTTTCTCTATTCCTTCACAGCACAGGCGTCTGTCGGAGGCTTCCATCTCTCCGCCGGGATCGTCCATCGGCTCTCCCAGTAGAGTTATATGTGTAAGTAACCTATTACCCCGCGGTCTTCAGTCACCTTTAGTGGTACTGTAAGCACAAAGGACCCCCCTCCCTTTAGCCCCCTCCCAAAGCAGTAATACAAGCATCACCTCAAGGCTTGGCTTGGTCAATACTGAGCCGACTCCACTGGCCTGTTCACGAGCTTTCTGTGTCATCGCTTATGGCTCCGTCTCACCTTGCACTCTGCTTTGTGCATAAGAAATCAGCACCGGTCAATTTTTACACAGATTTGTATTGTTTGAAATTCTTTAGTAAACAGAAAACTGCCTGTTTTAGTTTCTTGTAAAGGATTAAAAAATGCTGATGTGAAAGCGTCTCAGCAGCAAAGTCGTTATTCTGAAGGACATCAACGGAAACCAAAATTGGAGCGCACAAATACAAATTATTCTGTTATCACATTATTCAACAAAAATGTTTACTTAAAGCCGGGCCACCTAACTTTCAAACCGCAAAAAAAATAGCTATGTAATTAAATCCATCTTTAGCTCAGATTTTTCCAAGAGAGCAGACCACCCTCACACAGTAAAGAGTCAAATAGTCCCTCACAAGGCTCTTTCTTACAAGCATGCGGAAGCTCAAGATGAAGACAGCATGTTATGGTCTGATTTGTTCACTGCATTTCATTTTTAAATATTATTCATGAAACAAAAAAGTTATGTAGCCCGGCTTTAAAGAACCCTCTTCAGTGTTTATCCTTTACTGTTTGCAAGAAGGATTAAAACTGGACCTTCACAGAACTCAAAAGATAAAATGACTGTATCTTCCCTCAATCTGGAAACCTATTTCTTTCTACCTTCATTCTTGATTAGCCCTGTATCCTGTTTGGAAACTTCTACAACCATGATATTGTGTGGTTCAAACAAGCTATTTTCCACCAGATCAGACAGAAAATGACTTGGAATACATAATAGATAGATAGATAGATAGATAGCTTTTAGTACAGACTCTTAGTCCAGAACACAAAACATAGACAAGACACAACACACTAAAAAACAGACAACATAAAACAATAAAAGTCCCCAAATCTCTTTAGAGGAGGCATGTATACCAGTGTTTCCACAGTGCAGAGGTATAACGAACATCACTGTATGCTCTACTCGTCAACACTAAAATCATAATATTTGCACTATTGTCCAGGCGACACATAAACTTGATATAAATGCTGTATGTGTTGTCTCTATTAGGAGTGCTTGTATAATCCAAGTGCATGTTTCCTAGTCCATAGCCTGGCCGTGTGGCATGTAATAGAGCTGAGTGCTGTGGTGTGTTGATGTGTCAGGACTGGTCTGCATGTGAGCTGCTCAGCCCGCTCTCCTCTCATTCTACAATCAATGACCTTTCGCTCTGAGGTGATGGATGAGAGGAAAACGCTGTGTAAGCATTTGCCTGGTCGCCCATACTCTCGTCTCTCTGCTCCTGTGTTAAACATGCTATAGGCTTATGAAGGTCAACAACTTTCTCTGCGGCATGTCGGAGAGACGTTTGGCATCGGTGTGCATGCTGTAAAATTCACGCTTCTTTAGAGGTGCTCCCACTCTTGCAGGTTCCATTGTAAAGGTGTTGCGTTCAAGTACTCCGATCGATGGGGAGGTGATTAACGATGTTGCTAAAAACTTTAACAATTGAAAACACGAAATATGAAAAGATGGTCATTGCTGTTGCCTAGTATGGGTAACATAGGCATTTGTTGATAATCTGTTATATGGCAATATTCCTACACTGCAAAAGGTAATAATTGCTTGAATCAAGTTGTTTCAATCTTAATTTGAGTACATTCTGATGATTTTTCAAGAGCTGTTGCTTTCATTTTTCATTCCAAGGGAGATATTTCTTGTATCTTTTAAAAATAATATAATTTTGCTTTTCCCATTGGCATATTGGGTTTTACTGTAGTCAGAATGTGCTCAAATTATGCCAAATTTTGCCAAATTTGAGCAATTTTTGTACTTATTTGTCATCACTATTGTATTGACTAACTTTTCAAACTCCAATGAAGACAGGAGGCTACAATGTAATTACAGCTATGAATGTAGCTTTTCAAAATCCTTGTTTCAACATTTATTCAATTACAATTGGACATATCAAATTATTGTCAGTTCAAAAAATGTTGACATTGCCGTTTTCAAGAGTGACTAAACCGCACTCGTCACTATAAATGCATTGACGCTTCTGCAGGCTATAAAACCAAAATTACTAAAGCTGCATAAATCTTTTTAATGCCTCCAAACAGAACTCATCAAAAGTAATGAAACTGTCAAAGATGTTTCACGAGTTCAAGTCAAACAGCTTTAGATCCCGGTCCTGCCGAGATCAGCAGTTTCCTCCCCTGGGCGGGCACTTGAACGCACTGTGGCTCTTTGTGCTGTTCCCGTGGTTGAAGTCGTCATTGTGTCTTTGTTTTTGGTGTGGTGTTCTGTGTGTCCTCTCTCCAGGCCAGAGTGGAGAATGACTTCCTAGATTATAAGGATCTAGCCGCCCTCCCCAGGGTCAAGGCCATTTACGAGGTGCAGCCGCAGGGCCTCATTTGCTCCTCTTACCAGCCCTACCACAGATATGCCTCCGATGAGAGGTTTGACACTTACAGCTATGGGGAGGTACATCCAAAGCACACACCCGGAGTGAAAACAGTGCGACAGTGTATGTGCAAGCCTTCACATTTCACTCATAGAATTATGCTCACTTTGCTTGCTGGACACATTATATTCCTACTTTCCACCAAAATCTACAATTGTTTGTTTCTTGTGAATTGGGGATCCCCATTAGCTTCCACCAATGCGATTGCTAATCTTCCTGAGGTTCCAGTAAAGACGATATACAAAAAAGAAAATATTAATGATAATAATTAATTGGCATCATATTAAATACAGATAAGTCATTGATCAAGCCATACATTATAATGATGCATTGCAAGATAGACCCTAATTTCCCTATCAGCCCCATTCCAAAGTTGAGTCGACAAGATCTCAACAGAGAAAAAAAAAAAAAAGATAAAACTGGATCACCAAAATTTAAAGCTGGGGTACCTAACTTTTAAACCACAACAGTTGAATTACGTAATGCCATTCATTGTTTGCACATTTCGTGTCTTTTTGCACACCCAGAGTGATCCTATTTATGCCAAATGTACATTTCTCCAATGTGAGATTAATAATTTTATAATTTATTTTTTAATCCCTAGTTCCTTATCCTCACAGTTTGTGGTTTTGGCTTCTGTCACATCCCTCGATTAGCTTTTTTGGACAGAAAAGTGAAAAACCAATTAGCTCAAAGCCTAAGTGTCAATTAGCAAAGTATGCAAAAGATGTATGTTTACTAATAAGTTGAGGACAGCATGGTTTGATTTGTTCACAATGATTAACTTCTATAACACTTTCTTTTGGTACAAACAATGAGAAAAAAAAAGTTAGACCCTCCAGCTTTAAGTCTACTAAAACAGTCTGTCAAGTTGATACTCCAGGATGACATTTGTTCAAAAATGTTTAATTGCAGATGACTCCACTGGTTTTTCTTTCCCAATCTGGCGCATGATGATTACAAACTCATTGACATTTCTAAGCCACCGCTCAATTAGTTGATGAATTACAGATCATTTTCTTTGTGTCACCTCAACTCCGGCACTGCATTCATTTGGAAAAGGTTAAAAGAAAGTTAAGTAAGGGGCTTCGCTTGGCGGTTCATAGTCATTGATTTTTTTTCTGTCTGGAAAATAAAGTTTCACGGAGCATAACTGGGGCAGTAAGAATGTTAATTTAAAGGTGAAGAAGTGTGCATATGCTCTAAAATACTAATATGTCTATAGTCACAAATGGATCATTCAAGTGGGAAAAAATGAATTTGATTTTATTCAAGGGTGGTCTGGTTCACTTTATCTGGACCAAAAATCTAAACAATTCTGAAAAAAAATGTGGGTGTATAAAAACTCAAGGAACTTCCATAATTCATATTTTTGACAATTTCGACCCAATATTCATTTTTCACAATAAATACATTTAAAATAGTCCCTCCCTTTGGCAAAACCATCACGAGTATTATTTGCTGAAGGAAAATAGTTATCAATGGTGAGAGGCCTGTCTAGCTGTCCATCACATATTTGGAATGAATTGCATCCAATCAAGAACTTGTGGGGGCGGGACTTATTGGAGCTCGCATTCAAATCTTTACTATTTGAAAAGAAAATGATCTTCTCTTTAAATCAGTTTATATATTGTCAAAGAGATATGGACCAGGTAAAGTCAACCGGACCAAGTGTGAATGCACCCAAAACACTTTAGAAATAGAATATACTAGTTTGTCTGAATGCAGAAGAAAGATTACATGCAATGATGATTTATTGGAATAGCCCATGCTTCTGCAATATATATGAAACAATTAAAATGGTCACATACATGTATATCGCTTTTATTTAAGCATACACCACATTTATTTACAGCCATTCATTCAAGGCAAAGTCAAGTATTTTACCACAGCTGTTTAAAGTCAAAAGAATATAGCACATTAACATAAGAGTGTTCCAATGTTGTCAGTTTTGCAAATAGACACTTGATGCTGATTCTTTATGACTATGTCCTATATGCTTGCATAAATATTCACTGTCCTCTGTCATCCTCAGTCTCTCGGGACGCTCTCTCCGTACTCTCAGGTGAGCACTCTTGCACTCAGGGCAGGCTTCGACACGCCGCCATTTTAACCTGTCATTCAGCTATGTGACTTGTCGTTACTCATTTCCACTTAACGTCTTTGTTTTTAGGACTATGACAGTTTCGACAAGCAGCGGTGCCCCAGTCCAGGATACATAGACTCTCCAACATTCAGTCGCCAGGGCATGTCTCCCATCATGCCTCGCTCCCCTCAGCACTATGGATACACAGGTGAGCATGTGTCGCACTCGTCTATGCACACGCGATACAAACTACACGCTTTCATTGTCAGTGATTCGCATAAACTCATTGATGACAAAATAATGAAAAGTTTTAATCCGTATTGACCCAATAACATCAATGGCTCTCATCTCATCTAACTCTTACACATGTGCACTGACCCAATACACAGTAGAAGAGTGGATTATTGGAGGGTTGTGGTCTTATTTGACTTCAAGACTTTTGCAATGCATCTTTGATAAAACAGAATATGTATGTGATATTTTCTTTGTATGTATTGTTATAGTCTAATATAGGAAATAACTCAAGCCTGCTATGTCATGCTTTCCCCACATTATCTTATTTGAAGAATATCTCTAATGTAAAACAAAAGAACTTTCTGAATGATCATGTGTGAATAGTAGATCCAGATGCACTAAATATTCCATCTAGATTAAAACTTAAATGCAAAATTGAAGTAGGCTCAGTGGAGTATAGGTATGACACGTAATTTAATTGTTGTAAATTACATACAGTAATATATTTTTTTTATTTAAATGTCTACCTTTTTTGATGTTTTCAGATTTTACTTCAATAACAATTCATCGTTAATTTGCAAAAACATATAGGTGTTGGCAGGCTCTGAAAGATACCCAGCTTTACAGTGAAGGCTTTTTTCTCACTGGAACGTCTGTTGAATTTAAAATCCAACATTGATTATGCTGAAAAAACTGAAATTATGAAAACTAGAGAAGAATATATTTTGAACTGTGTTACATGAGGACCATCGTTCAAATCAGTTTCCGTTGGCGCCAAATCCATTGATCCACCACTTCTACTGTCTGTCTGAAAGCTACCAAACCCTGTCATTACACAAGTGGAATAGTTATTCAGTAATTTTGAATGATATTAACGTTTTCATCTGCATGGGACTTAAACCCCTCCCTCATGTCCATTACTCCTCTGCTGTGATTGGCTGTGGCTGGCGACAGGCTCAGAGAGTGGCAGGAGCTCGCCCTATTACGGCCAAGATGGGCGTTCCAGCACCCCCACCTCAAACCAGCCCCCCAAACATTTCCATGTGCCAGGTAGGAGCCTTCTCATCTGCTCGCTGCACTCCATATTTAACCCACTTCACTAATGCACATCACCCTGACATGGTTTTACTTTCGCTGGGAACAAAAGGCTGTCAAATCTTTTTATGCCACGCCGTGCGATCGCTCTTGGCATATGTCTCCTTTCATGTAATTTTACTTATATGTTGAGTTCCTTTTCTTCCCCATCTCAAGGCAACCCTATTTGTCAGTGGTAAAAATACTATCCATTTCCCAGCAAATGAAGGCATCTGATTGGTCAATCCTCATAGCTCATATCTGAATAAACAATGACAATATGAACACAAATATTAACGCTAGGATCATAGAGGGTGCTACAATTAAGGATTTTATAAGCCCAAAATGGTGACGCAAACGATTACTGAGCTAGAGGAGTTTACTTTTCAATGTAAGTCATAAGGAGCCAGAGCGAGTTGTAGCAGAACTTAGTCCACGAGCACATCTATATACAGTCAGTTCTACAGTTATTTGATATCAGTTAAACTTTTACTGTTACTTCCCCAAAATCAAACCTGGCTGACTTGGAAAGAAACACATGCATAGTCAAGGAAATTGATTGAATTGAGATGACAATCACATGCTATAGTTAAGACAAGTGTTTTTGCATAATTGTGGTGAAATACAAGTGGTATCCTTTTTGAAGCTACTGTTCCCACTACTTTCTAGCTTTTTTCCCGCTCACCTCTTCATCTCTGTCTCTCCTCAGCCACAGGAGACCGCAACATCTACAGGAAACCACCCATCTATAAGCGAGCGGGTACAGTGCAGCCATAGCCGCCTTAGCCTGCCTGTTAGCCGCCCGTCACTGTGTTTGACTGCTCCATTTAGCTTTTGATATTGAGCTATTGCTGCCATTAAACGGAAGCCTTTATAAATCAGCTTCGAGCGGGATCGACACTTAGGTTATGGGAGAAATCGCAGCCACACACACACACACACACAATCAGATAAAAAATGGTTAGCAGAAAAGGAAATGGTGTTCGACTCCTTCTACGAACTGATTTGCGTAAAGGCTGATAAAGATCCGGCTGTGACTAATTGCGTTACTAAGTGGTCGTGTGTCGAGTGGCTGTCTAAAATGTGCTGCGTGGAATTCCTGTCTGGAAATACAGACAAAGCAACAAAGCACAAGCAATGCAAAGCTCAACACACAACAGGGTGGAAAACAGAACAACTTTATTGTGTGTCAAACGCAGTGAAGATAGAAATGTGTCTTTAGCTTGCTCTAGTTTAGTTGTTTTAGTTATAGGAGACATAATGTGAAACAAAAATAACTTTTTTTTTTTACTTTTAACTATGTTTCAGCATTGGCCCTCCTGAAAAATAGACCAGGAGTGTTTTTTAGATCCATCCAGTCGCTTTAAATTTGAGAAAGAAAAAAATATATATACACTGCCCTCACTGCAGATGGAAGGATTTTTAACCATCCACTCATTACAATCACTTTATCTGATGACTTGTAATCAAAGACATGTATTGTTTGCTTTGAAAGGTATGTGAGTTGGTGGTATTATGTCAAACTTTGCATTAGTATAGTTTTTTAACATTTCATTGCTATTTTTAAAATGGTTTGGTAAGCAGTGACGCTGAAAGACAAAGGCTGATAGTCATTCTATATACACAGAACAAGCAACCACTAAAAGGGTGATACAGGGACTTTAATATTTGATATGTGGCAATTAATACAAATCATGAGGACATATGTAATCTTTATACACAGCACAAATCATAAAATAAACAAAGTATTGTGTATTTGTCAATTCATACATTTTGTTATGTCATAGTAAGACATTTTTACGAACCACATATTGCTTGAGAAAAACATTGCATTATGATTTCTCCATTTCATTAAAAACTGACTTAGAACATAAACAATAAACAGTGAGACATTTATGGGAGTAAATGTAAGTCAAACGGTTTAATTATAGACAAAGCTCAGAACATTCCTTTATATGATTCACAACAACATTATTTATCTATTTATCTTTATTTACCATAAAGATTCAAAAATATTATGAAGATGGTGCCTGCTGTAATAGATTTATCACAATGCTTATTTTTTAGAAATACTGCAATATATGAATACACAATCACTGTTCAGTCTGTACCGTATGTGTACATGTTGTGTTGCCTTGCATGTTTGTGTGCGTAGTTATTTGTACAGTGTTCCTCCCGCTGTCTCTAAACCAAAGTACATCACAGGCCTGCTTCTCTTGCTTATACACAATTGTGTCGTGATCTATTGCCAGCTCAAAACCTTTTACTAAGAACAGCGTTTGGCTACACACAGTCCAGCAGCAGCTACATCGATCCTTGCGGGGTTTTATATCTTCCTAAACAGCTATTGATTGTCACTTGCTCTTGTTTTAACATTAACCATGATGGATGTGTGGTGTCAAGAGAAGCACTTGTAATCAGAACATCCCATTCATTTTCAAGAGCTGCATTAAAGACCTTACCTTCGTTGGGGAGAGGATAGTTCTTAAAACAGACAGTTGTTTTCAGCATAATATTTTTATTATTTAACCAGTCTGTATTTAATCTGTGCAGACAAATTCTAGTTGATTATCTTAGTGTTTTTTTCAAGAAAAGGTTTTGATGGGTGAAAAGTAGTAACTCGGCATGTTCATTTCGGTTATTGGATGAGAACCTTCAAGTAACAGCTGCCTGTGATCGCAAGACAGTATTTTTTCCTTTATAGAATAGAATAGAAGAGAATTATTTTATAGATGGAGCCAAAATTTAAAGCTAGGGTGGGTCCTTTTCAAATCACAAATAATGAAACTAGGTAATACAATTTTAATACATAATAATATTCTCTCAAAACAGAGACTCGCAATGCTCTTTAACCCTTTAAGCGCCAGAGGTATTTTCTAAAACGCTCAATTTTGATATTTTCATTTCCAAAGGCTATAACTTTTAAGTGATAAGAGATAAAGGCTTTCTGTAAATTAGAAAAATATTAAGGATGGCCCAAAGTTTGATTAGGGAATAAGTCCACCCATCTAATTTGCATATTATGGCGTTAGAAATGGTGGATTCTATAATTTCATACAATATTTTCATTTTTCTAACTGACAAACATATATTGATATATGACAATCCCAGCACAGTCTCTGCCAAGTTTATTATATGGTTTATACAACTTGTTTATCGTCCTTTTTGATGGCCGCCTTCCATACACAGGGCAACACAAAGCGCATCACAGTCCACATCACGCAAGGCACAAATCAACACATAAAACAAACACCAGAATCACCACTAAAAACACAATAGGAAATTATAGATGGAAAATCACACAATAAATGAACACTATTAAAACATTAAAATCACCATTTAAAAAAAATTGATAACCACAGTGCATTAAAAATAGATCAAATCCATCAGTTGTATGCACAGGCAAACAAAATGAGTCTTTTCCTACAGAGAGTAAACGTGGCATGCACACTACATGCTGCACATTTACATTATTGTATTGCTGCGTAGGCACTTGGTAGTATTGTGTATGTATGAAAGTCCTTTTAGCATGAATCAAGTTGACGCCAAAGTCAAGAACACACCCACACTACACTAAACACGAATTATAGTAATGTTTTGGCAAGTATTCATGTCCAAGGCCAGTTATGTACTCGACCTTGTCCTTTCTGCTCGCTTTTTGGCTTGCTTATTTGTAAATCTTATCTGTTTTTGATGGTATAGTTCTCACGTTGTATATCCTCCAATAATTTTACCCTTTTTTAAATAACTTTTTATCGCATCCAAATCACACTTGTTCCCTTGTCCCTTCGCCTAATGCTCCACTTTCCCTGCTGACCTTGGCTTGTTGTGAGTATCTTCCTTCTTCTCAATTCAGATTTGTCAATATGATTCAATAAGTTGTCATCTACTGTCACGTTAGGTCTCAGATTGGTCAATAATTCCTCTGTTGTTATTGTTTTTAGGTTGGAAAGCTCTTTGTCATGGCGAGAGTTAATGAACCATGCATCTGCTCTAGCATGGCTAATCTTTTCAACATTATCGCATGTCACCTCCCATTAAATGTCTATTAGTAGCATTCAACATCAATGATATCCATTCACACCATTCTCTTCAAAGCTGGTCATATGTATCACATGTCGAAAATTTTGATGTTACAATGACAGTGAATTGTACATACATTAACTGGTTACTTTCTGCTACACCTATGCACAGCTAATAATAGTGTAATTATCAAAAAGAAGTGGGGGAAAAAAAAAAAATTGCAAGTAGAATTTTGGAAAACAAAATATTCAGCAGATTGTTTTTGGATTGACAAAATAAGGACTGGTGGTTCACATTGAAAATAAAACAAAAATCATGTATTTGTGGTAAAAAATAATAATCTGGATCACCCTTATGCAATTAGAATGATAACTTTTGTGAATACAGGTGAAAGTGGAATATTGTTCAAAATTTAAATTATGAATGAAAACAAATATATAATGTATACTCATTACATGCAAAGTGGCATAATTTCAAAATATAATCAACATTTTAACACATCTCATTTTGTATATAATCTGTCTGTAATATACTAGTTTCACATTTTTACATTAGATTTCTGAGTTTCACCTGTTATATCTTTGAGTTCCAGAAAAATGTATGACAATTTTTGGTTTCAGTTTATAGCTTGTCTAGGACCCTGACAACCCCAACTTTAAGCTCCTTCCCAGAATCTTACTTCCAGCTTTGTATTTGTCATAGAATATTTTCTCACTTGTTTGGTGTTTTTTTTCCAGGTAATTACATGTCTGCAGCGACCAAGAGCAGGACCAGTGAGGACATCCTGAGGTCGTCTAGACTCTCCACCTACTCTCCTGAGTCTTACAGCCAATCTGAGTCGGACTATTACCCCTACAGCAGCTCTCCAAAAGGTGCACTCATAGCTGACCTCATCTCGCGCATCGTTATAGACAAATAATATCAAATCAATCCAATTTGTCGTCTCGAGGGGTGTCACAGAACCGCCGACTCCCATGTGAGGCTTGGGGACTAGTTGAGAAAAATACAAGAAAAGGAGAACACATTTATCCATGAAATTAAAAACTAAAATTCATTAGGCCTACGGTTTGACATTGGACCCTGCTCTTTTCTGCTCAATATTTGTCTGTGTTACGTTTGCCTTCGAAGCAGGATTACTTGTATGTTTGCTGAGGATTTGTCCTTTTCTCTTTGGGGTCATTCATAGTTCCAGGAAAATCAATAACATGAAGACCTAGAGCTGGGCGAGGGTGTCTTCTTCCTCATATTGATGGAAATCAAACTCAAGTTAAATTGGTCCTTTGTCTGCATTTGGCTTTTTTGTAAGAATTTAATATTTTCGTTAAAATTCTGAATTCTGATTTTATTAAACTTTATATCAATGACCAGGAGAGTTTAGAGCTTATTGTAGAGGAGGGGTCAAGTTGTTTTGAGGAGATTGGTTAAAGCTGGACTACCTCATTTTATTTTTGTGATCATTTGGGAAATTCACTCCAGATCCATGCAGTACATTGAGATATACTGTACGTCCTTTTGAAGAATAAGTAGCGGTTTGTACTGGAGTGTAATTATATTTTAGATCGAGTTTTTGTGAAACGCGGAAGAGAATTTATTTTGGGACCAGATTGTGACCAATCACAGTGCACCGCTAACCTGAAACTTCCCATGTCTTTGTTACCGGTTACTGCTTACTCAGCAAAACAGCCAAAAGAAAGTCTTTGCGCTTCTTGGTTCTATCATTCTATGGTCACGCCATCCAAGTTCAAATGTGCGATCCAAAAGTGAGACGCTAGCTCCGTAAACAACAGCACATGAGTGGGATGATCCATCTAATTACTTCCTCAAATCAGTTTAGTTCTATCACTCTTTTTCACATGCCTGTATTTTGGTCACATCTTTAGATTGACTCACTCACTCAGCCAATCAGCCCAAAGCATTCACAGAGCTCTCTCAAGTATGCCAACAATAACATATTTTCTAGTACGATTCTACTCTGTGCTGTACTATTTATCAAACAAACAAAAACCACAGAAAATGGATTAACAGTTAAAGGGTCTCTCCAAGTTAGAACAATTCTTTAAAACATCAAAAACCAAATGAGGTGATGTCAACAACTATTGCGCACAGTAAGAATTTTTGTATTTTCAATAGTTAAACCAAGAGTAAAAAGTTTCACTCTCTCATCTCAGTTTGAATAGTAACTGACATCTACTTTAATGTCTTATCAAAACAAACTTGTCATTTTGATCCCGGGTTTTCCCTTCTCGTCTCGCTGTCTCTCACACATCTTCACACCCTCATATTCTCGCTATGTAACCAATCTAAAGTATATTTGTTGTGCTTGCGCAGCGTACCGTGCTCCGAGAAGGCGCTACTCAACAGGAGGAGATGAAGAGGGCTGGAGCCACGGTCTTCAAAGAGTAAGAGCTTCATTATTCTCTGTCTCGCTTTCCACAACCTCGTCTTCCAGCTCCTCAGAAACGTCCATAAATAATGCACCTCTGATGGTATGGTGCCTCATATTTTATTATTTTTTTCCTATTTACTTTTAACTATTCATAATTTCACTTCACAATTCAGTCCGGTTAGCTCATTTGTCCCTATAACTGTGCTTTTTTGTGTGGTACGTCTTTAGATTGGGAGTGGTATCGGGAGGTTGATCCTTAAGGAGGAGATGAAAGCCCGGTCGGGTTCCTATGACAATGATCCCTGGGGCAGTAGGAGGAATTCTCGATGTGGGAGCAAAGAAACCCTCAACACGACGGGCTACGCCTCCACCGTGTACAACAACGCTGTCAACGGCTGTAAGCATCTGCCCTCCCCCAACCTAGCCCCTCCCCTCCCCCACCCTAGCCCCTCCCCATCACCACCACCACCACCATCAGCACCATCAGCGGCAGCACCAGTGTTAGTTTGATTCTGTCCCTAGTGAGAAAGAGCCTGGAGTGAGGGCTGGGTGACATCCTCAGCTGGCTGTACAGTATGGAATTTCTACAGCAGAATTTGACCATTTTAAACCCACTGTATGTACACCAGAGGAAGGTTGGACAAATACAATAATTAAACAGAAATACACCGTTTGAAAAGGGGTGGAAGAGGCTGTAAAGTAAACGTAGGACTCACTCTTGGAGCATTGACTAAATTTACAAGCCCTATATATGATTTTTACATTAACGATATTCTCACATTATTATTTTTTGCAAATAATACTTCATACTTCATAACTTCATATTCTTATTGAAAATGATGCATAATCTTAAAGCTGGTCGACCTTTCAAGCCACAACAATGGAACTATGTAATCAAATCAATCTAAATAGATGCGTCATAACTAATTACCACGACACATTATACAGATAGATGATCATCTTGTTTGTACCTATTTTAATAAAGCTGCACTTTTGTCACATTTTCAGTGATGTGAGTTGAACATAATGAAGAATATAGGTATTTTCTACTGCATGGCATTAAACAAATATTTATCCAAAATGAAACATTTTAAAGACTTTATGCCGGGTTTTTTTTTTTTTAAATTGTGGATATCAAAATTGCATGACAATGTCGATCTGAAATAGATTCCGGCAAAAAAATCCTATATTTTATAAAAAGAAGGTGTTTTTCATGAATTTAAGTTGTCTATGCTCTAACCTGTGTGTGACGTCATAGCGGGTAACGCCCATGCATTGAAAACCATGGATCTATGCCACAGGACTGCCTTTTCTCTCTTCTCTCCACTGATGCCCAACACAATACTGCCCTCTACAGGTGACAATTGCTCACTACACATAATTTGCCGTTTTGAGAGTGAAAATGTGTCTAAGGTGGGACTTGAAGGCCATCAACACAACCACTGGACTATCCCAGTGCTAACACGGGGTTATAATGTAGTAGTAATGTCATACTCGCTGTACACGGCCTTGTCATCTTGAATATCCGCAAAAAAAGAACGAATACCAAATTGTAAACAACTTACAGCGTTGAAACGTACCCACTCTGACGTCACCAAGGGCTGTGAAGGGCGTTGCTATGGGGTTATTTCGATTTGAGGGGATAAGACAAAAAAAACAACTGATTTTGAAACCTTTAGTAGTTCTCTTCTAATATAAAATGGTATTAAAACTGTATTTCTAAATAAATCAAACCCGGCATAACGTCTTTAATAAAAAAGCATAGACTTTTGTTATACAATTCCCCCTAACATGAATTTGTCCGATCATCTATAACTCGATTCACTTCCTGAAAACTGAATTTAGTTCAGAAGAGTTGACCTTACTCTAAATTAAGTAACGCAGGGTCACAGTCACTTTAGGCAAAATAGATTTATTGAGACAGAAAAGTGACGAGTGAACAGCTGTAGGAGCAGATGTGGCTTCTCACTGGTGCACGGCAATCTTCTCCTCCACATCTAGATTTTAGCTTTAGACCCCGGAAAACGCTCTGTGTAACCAGGTGTGGCACATCAGGTAGCAGAGCATGACAAGCGATTTTAAACTGACCACTCTATTTTTGTTTGTTATAGTCAGGCTTCAGTGGTCTTACAGCTGCACTTTGGGCCTGTTGTTCAGACCTTTGATACCGGGACAAATAGGTATCAGTTAAAATATTCAACATAAGGTTTAAATTAATCAAATCAACATTAACATACATTATTTTCAAAATGTTTTTTTATGATATTATTTTAACAAAGTAATCAACATTAATTTTTTTGCATTACTTTCAATATTTCAGTTCCACCTTTTGATATTGAGCCTTCTAAATGAGCCTATTGAGGAGGTTTTAGGCCGCTAATATCATGACCATTGTGCATCGTAATGAAGGGAAATTCCATACCAGTGGTCCCCAACCTTTTTATCTCCAGCTACTTTTACGGGACCAAAAATGGCTGAGAGCTACGCCTCCCTAGATGGGATACAGTCAGATGGACTTAAAACAAATCTATTATTCATACTGTATATTTCTGCACAGAGTATACCATACAATTACAATACTTTAAGCCATTTGAATATGTAGGTTTTTTGTGGATTCTTCAGGGAGCTACTTGGAAGGGTGTGGTGAGCTCCTATTAGCTCCCAAGTTATAGGTTGGAGACCCCTTTTCTCTACATTTAACCGCATGCTTCAACTAGTTTAGGGCTGCGGACTCATTAGCTGTAGAATTTGTATCTGTATATACAAGTGGATGACATGCTAACCTTGGAAGAACGTGCGTATCATTTCTGGGACACATATGTTGTAACCTCAAATGCTCTCAGTATAGCTAATAATAGAATGATATATGCATCTGCTCTTTTTATACTACTGATTTTAAAACTACTCCTTTCTGCAAAAGCAATTGGTCCGACACCTGTCTCTAAAATAAACATGAATAGCACACTGGGACTCTATCATTGGAGGATTTCCTGTCTTCGTCTCCTGCACTGTGTTAACTCCTCATTTATCAGAACTCTCCTGTCCCAGCTGCTGTCCCACTTCCTGATTTATTTATGAGCTGTAAGATCTCTCATTAATGTGATTTCAAGAATGAGAACTGCTCTGCTCTAAACATTAGAAATATTGGACTTGACATTGGCACATATATATAACATATCATTTACATATTTGGATTTTTGTTCAGTTTCTTGTTGATTGCATTATTTTATCTATTTTTAGCTGTGGTGTTTAACCTTTGTGTATTTTTCCCACAGCTCCGCAGTCGCAATACAGCAGTGAAAGTGGTAAGTTTTCATGCATTCGTTCATTATTCCATGAGGTTGTATTTGTTAGCTTCTTGTCAATGTGCATGTCTGTAACTAACAGCTGTGTGACCAATATTTAGTTGTAAAAGAGCGCCCTCTTTTGGTGGTCATATCGAAGTGTAGTGTATGTATGTTGGTGTTAAGATAAAATTATACCAGACACAAGAATGGCATGTCCAGTCTACTGTAAAAAATAAATCTGTAATCAAAATTAAGGTATAAGGTTATAGATAACATTGAAATTAGCAGCATGTCTCTCCTTTCAAATGCCTGCCACTATATGCTACTATAAAGCAAGAGACAAAGCTATTGTGTAATGTGAATATTGTCTTAAACGGTTCTTTGTTTCCAGATTTGGGATGTAAATCAGCTTCACTTCCAGGATATGGACGAAATGGCCTTCAGAGGGTAAGAAGACACCATTACATAAGAGTATTGTTAATATGCTGAGAGTGTCTGTGTATTTTTAAGCAGGCAAATCTATAAGAAATTAAAATATGTTAATTTCTTGCTCCATTCCATTTTCTTCGCAGCCTCAGAGCGCTGATTGCTACCAGTATCAGTACGACAACTCCAGTGAGGTATCCTGGGGAAACAAAGGTAATTGCGTAGGAGTTTTTAAGTAGCTGTATTCCTAATTAGATGAAATTAATTAAATCCAGTGCTTTGTTCTAACACCATTCATTTTTTCTTCCTTTCACAGCCGAATACAAGGTATGTTTTAACTTACATTACTTGTTCTTTGTGAAGGGAACAGTGTAATTGCTGGAGTTATCATGCCTCTGGTGTGTAACATGACATGGCTGTGTGCTCTATTACTGCAGGTTTATCCCTATGAAATGCTCATTGTCACCACAAGAGGGCGGAACAGGCTGCCAAAAGAGGCAGACAGAGCCAGACTGGAGGTAAGTCTGCAGGGGCAAAAGGCAAAATGGTAATTTAAACAAAAGTCTAAAGAGTAATGTGTGGAGATAGCAACTGCACACTTACAAAATTATATACAAAGATCAAATACAAGTAGGGCAAAAATGTTTTTATCAAAAATGGATGAGTAAATATCAGTAAACATAGTGGTTAAAATTATGTTTGAAATTAAAATCTGTAGAGTACACAGACTAAGTCATAGCTGTCGCTTTATTACTGATAATAAAACTGCTACTTTCTTACAGCACTAAACTCTGACAATTGTGCGAAACTTTCTACTAAGTGGCTATACTTCATCATATTTATGCTGACTGTCTATTTTCTTTCACTGCAACAGCTACATTTACAACCTGTACTGTTGTAACTATAGCTTGAAAACTACCGTAGTCTATTGCAGAATAATAACATGGAGCTGCAAAGTGGGCTGAACTTTCAGGTTCCGCAAATAAAATTCCCCTTTCAAAATCCCCATATCAAGAGTTTCAAGACGGAACGTATGCTAACTTGCATTCTGGTTACAACTATCTAGTTATTTTCAGCCCAAAAAGCAGTTAAAACTTCAAACTTGGCATATTGTGTTGAACATTTTCAAAAACTATTCTAATAAAATGTTCTTGTGGTCATGATCAGGTGCAAACAAGTTTTTTATTAATCAATTTTTTTTACGTTGCTTATATATTCCTAATGCCTTTTCTCTTACGTTTGTGTCTTTTAGCGCCATTTGTCTCCTGAAGAGTTCTCCCAAGTGTTTGGCATGACAATAGAAGAATTCGACCGGCTGGCTTTATGGAAACGCAATGAACTGAAGAAGCAGGCGAGACTATTTTAATCACTGCCTGCTCGCGTACACCGGTACTAACACAGACTTGAAACTATACTTAAGACATAAATATATGAAGAATATACAAAAACTCTTTATGAACTTCCCTGACTTTTCACTGCCGTGGCTGCGAGACTGTTCAAGACCTCCTCTGAAACCAAAACTCCAGTGTGGACCAGTGGGAGAAGAGGAGGAGATACATATGGACTGTGAGGCGTTAGCAATAGTAAGATTCTGCAGTGGTGTTTTGAGGAGGCCCCATTATGACAGATAATGGTGATTTCTGCATCAAATGGAAAAGTGGCATAGAGAAGAGGTCTGGCTTTGCCTTATTGCATTTTTTATTTCTGAGTGTGCAGCACCAGCAATCTGAATGAGTAGAATGTAGATGCAGAGGATTCATGACACTTTAACAGAGTGAATGGTCTAATATGAGAGTGAGAGTGGCCTGGCTATGCTTTATAAGATGCTTATTATTTCCCTGTGTAGAATGAAATGCTTTAGTGTAAGCAACAACTACTAATTGAGAATTTGCTGGAGCACTGTGTAAAGCAGAGGTGTCAAACTCATTTTGGTCCGGGGGCCACATACAACCTAATCTGATCTCAAGTGGGCCGGACCAGGAGATGCTCTACAAAAATATCCAAAAACGGAACAAAGTCCAACTTTTTGTGCACATAAACACATTTATTTAAAACTTCCTTTAAAACACTATCCTTTAATACTCAGTTTTCTGTTACAAACTTAAATGTAACAGTGAGTTTTCCATAGTGCAAATAATGTAATGTATTTACAATATTACATTGAAAATGGTATTTCACAATATGTATATTAATATTTGTATGTTAGCTTTGTTTTAAGGCTCATTACAGAGAAAACCTGCTCACAGAGGTAAAGTAGGTAGATAGAAAAAAGCACTTAAACACAGCACCTCAGCTTAACCACCTTCAGTGTGGTCAGGTCCATGGTTATGTTATTATCACATTAACCACCTTCAGTGTGGTACGGTCCATGGTTATGTTATTATCACATTAACCATCTTCAGTGTGGTAAGGTCCATGGTTATGTTATTATCACATTAACCATCTTCAGTGTGGTAAGGTCCATGGTTATGTTATTATCACATTAACCATCTTCAGTGTGGTCAGGTCCATGGTTATGTTATTATCACATTAACCATCTTCAGTGTGGTAAGGTCCATGGTTATGTTATTATCACATTAACCATCTTCAGTGTGGTAAGGTCCATGGTTATGTTATTATCACATTAACCATCTTCAGTGTGGTAAGGTCCATGGTTATGTTATTATCACATTAACCATCTTCAGTGTGTGTGTAGGTCCATGGTTATGTTATTATCACATTAACCATCTTCAGTGTGGTAAGGTCCATGGTTATGTTATTATCACATTAACCATCTTCAGTGTGGTAAGGTCCATGGTTATGTTATTATCACATTAACCATCTTCAGTGTGGTAAGGTCCATGGTTATGTTATTATCACATTAACCATCTTCAGTGTGGTAAGGTCCATGGTTATGTTATTATCACATTAACCATCTTCAGTGTGGTCAGGTCCATGGTTATGTTATTATCACATTAACCATCTTCAGTGTGTAAGGTCCATGGTTATGTTATTATTACATTAACCATCTTCAGTGTGGTAAGGTCCATGGTTATGTTATTATCACATTAACCATCTTCAGTGTGGTCAGGTCCATGGTTATGTTATTATCACATTAACCATCTTCAGTGTGGTCAGGTCCATGGTTATGTTATTATCACATTAACCATCTTCAGTGTGGTCAGGTCCATGGTTATGTTATTATCACATTAACCATCTTCAGTGTGGTACAGTCCATGGTTATGTTATTATCACATTAACCACCTTCAGTGTGGTAAGGTCCATGGTTATGTTATTATCACATTAACCACCTTCAGTGTGGTAAGGTCCATGGGTATGTTATTATCACATTAACCATCTTCAGTGTGGTCAGGTCCATGGTTATGTTATTATCACAGAGAAAGCATCAAACTGATAGTTTCAGTAACACCACAAATGAATATGTGACATCAGTAACATCAGTCTCTTATCAATGGCAACATGTTGGTAAAAGCGAGTGGTTTCTCAGACCATGTCTGCAGCCTGTAAGAGAGATTTAACAAACTCTCTCTCACTGTGCGGCTGCGATGCTAATGCTAATGTTGTTAGCACAGGTAGCTTCCCTTCACAGCAGCAGCACTAACCTCTCGCTCTGGGCACAAACAGACTGCTGTGTCTTCAGGGCCAGACAGGTTTATCTTCTGTTTTCTCAATCCTTCGCTCAAAGTGCCGTATTTTTCGCCGAGTCTTGTAGTTTAAGATGTTATTCCTTCAGCACCGCTCTGGTGGAGCCACTACAGACGCACTGGACTCACCCCTGAGCGCGGCGCCTCGCGGCGCGGAGCCTCGCGTCGCCTTGCGTCGCGGAGCGGCTTTTTAAAATGTAACTTTATTATATTTTTACATAAATGAGCCACGGGCCGTGTCAAATCTCTTGGCGGGCCGGTTCCGGCCCGCGGGCCGTATGAATGACACCCCTGGTGTAAAGTGTAAAAGATGCACATTTAACGTTCTTTCTAAAAAATACAAAAAACCTTGAATGTCCCTTTTAAATATAAATTAGACTGAGAACACATGTTATTACAGTTAGCAGCCTTGCCTCACTTGGTCCTGTGGTCATGGTGTATCTACTGTAGAGATACTGTGCAAACTACTACTGAAGTCACAGCTGCCCTGGGGCAGACGGACGAGGCAGGAAGCGAAGCAACAGCAAATAGTTTTGGTGACATTTTTAGATTTTTTTTTTTAAATCTTGAGTCTGAAATAATGATTAGTAATACTTCATGCACACTAGTCTCATACTAGGCCGCATCTGACCCTCTGTGGCATCAGGTGTCCCAGAGGTCTCCCATCACTGTACTAACCTCTTTTAGGAAGTCTTATGGGATCAGGCTTTCATGTGCAGTGAAACCAGAAATTAAGTGTTTTTTTTAAATAGGCCAATTACATTATTCAGTTGTATTCACTACTTTCAGGATCTTTTTTTATTTACCCAGAGTAGCCAGAAAGCAAACTTACTTACTTTACATTTTACACAGTTGCTCTACTGAATGGTTTGTGAAAGGTGCGTGTGATTTGCCTTGATTAGTGTGAGAATGAAAACCAAAGTGTGCAGACACACATGAGACAAGACTATTCATGACTTTCAGTTGCTATTCTCAAAATGTTGCAAATAACAGGAGGCATGAAGGGTGCAAATCCAAAGGCATAGAGTCCGATGTAAAAGGTGATGTTACATTAGTTAGACTGTGTAGTAGGTGCGGCCCATGAGTCAGTGTGTTCAGGCACTTAATGCAATACCAGATCCATGTTTAGAGGAGTTAAACCCAGTCTATGGTTGAAAATGACATCTCTCACTGTTGTCTAGAAATAATATTTTGTAGCTAAAGAGGTTATTTTCACTTGTTATTGCAGCCTGAAGTGTTGATGTAAAACATGATTCAGGGCTGACTTCTTTTGAATACTATTATTCATGGTTTTGTCACTAAAATAAACAAAATTACAACTTACTGTGTTATGTTATGTGTATGAACTTGCATGCTACAGCACAAACACAGATGAACACAATCAAACAACTTTATTTATCGTAAGGGGCCATTCAGTTTGCAGATCTCGGATCTCGTCATCCTCCCATCTGCGACAGGAGCTTCAAAAGTTGAATTGTAGAAAGAATATATGAATTTGCAGTGATCCTCCAACTGAACACAAATAATTCCACCACGACCTTTTAACTACGTGGTTCAAGTTTTTCCTTAGAGTAAAAGTCAAAATATTTTCAATTAAAGATCACTGAATATATTTGTTGACACATTAAAGAAGTTTGCTTCCGTTCTGGTGTACATTGACAGCCTTATTTAACATGAATATTTATAAACACAACAAATCACTTTGTTTAGTTTTAGTGCTTTTTTAGTCTGCCATAGATCCATACTCCCATCCCATTACTAACCATAGACTGTACTAACCAGTCTGTACCGCCACCTACTGGATGTTACCTTCCACAACAACATTGCCATGAATATAAACCAAAGACTGTATATATTAAACAGAAGGCAGTGTGTAAGTAACGCGTGAGGTTATAAAAAAATCTCAAGACGCTATGAGTCGCAATAATGTGAAACATTATTTTGAATTATTCGCATAATATAACAAGATTATTCTGATAATTTTACGTTTGTGCTATAACATAACACAATTAAAAGCTACTATATTCAACCATTGTTAGGTTAAAATGTGACGTAAAGAGGCTTTAGAACCAGTTAGTTGAATAAACTTCCACAAGACACGGTGCAGTCTCTAGGACCCAGCGGAACAGTCTGTTAGCAGCAGCTTCAGTTGAGACTGCCGCGCTCACGCGCGCGCGCCACATGGAGCAGAGCCGCGTGGGACTGCGCCAGGATGGACCATGGGATGGACACACATGGCTCCAAGTGTGAGTTTAACAACACATTAATACAACTAATAGTTATAGCAGCCATCGGTGGTTAATCTTACACATGTTGAAGTGAATGTCAATATGATAGTATTATTGTCATACTTTAGCTGACCTTCCTGAGTGTTGTTTGTTATTGGATCCTCACTGTGTGTTTTGCAAGGACTGGTGCTATGCCACCTGCAAAGTACGTTTTCCCACATTGTGAATGAAAACACATTTCCAGGCCCTGAGTAGGTGTGACCTGATTTAACTCCATTTAGCTGTATATTATTGTTTGGTTGTCGTTTCTTCACGTAACATCCCAGCTGTCATGTTCCTGCATGTGAGGGACTATTGACATAAAGTGATCTGGGGAGCTCTGTTTTGATGAACTCTTCCATATACTGTATACATTTGCTAAAACAGATATCTCCGTTTTCGTCCAAAAGTTGTATTCCTCCAACTGCAATCTTCTGTTGTATAGAATAAAAATA